CTTGCTGCCGGATATAGTTTAACGTCATACCCAGTACTATCAGTTGGTCGAAAGTATAGATTGGACGAAGCAGTTAGGATGCTCTGCTGTTAGGATTAATAAAAGTGCATTGGTTCGAGCTTTAGGAGAAATTAGGCTCCTTGTTTTTGTATGTGCATATGTGTTCAGGAAGGACAGAATCTCTCAGAATTCTTCAGATAAAGACTGTCTTGGGTATGACGATAAACTACATCCAGCAGCAAGGCCTTTGATCAGGAAGTTTTGAGGTGTTAATCGCTGGTATTCCCAGATCCACACTGGCCAGGGTTAGTAGTCCCTGTTAGGGTCCGAGCTATGAACAAATATTTAACACCCAAACTTTTGTAAAAATAGGTTTTAATACCAAAAATAATTTTTAATAAAAAATTATTACCCGCAATAATTTTTTGAAAGAAAAATTATTATCAGCAATACTTTAAAAAAAAATACCAGCAATACAAAAAGATATACATTCTTTTGAAAAAACATGACCAGCTATAGATTTCTTCAAGGAAAAATATTCCCAGATATAGATTTTTGAAGAAAAACATTACCAGCAATAAAAATTTTGTCGGCATTAAATAACCCATAGAGGTGTTGATATGCCATAAAATAAACCAAACCAAACCAATCTTCAGATAAAAAAATCTCCAGAAGTGCCGCCCCCTCCATCTCTGAATATATCACATTGAAATTTTTGTCCCCCAGAAAAAAAATTCAAACAAAAGCCTGAATGTTCTGAAGACAGTCTACCGTAATCACTACTACAATATCTATCGCAGGGAAGGGTGTCGTAGAAAACATATGCTGAATACAGAACTGTCCGCAGTAATTGCAAGAAAGATCTAGAAAATGCAATGTTCAGTCCAGGCCAAAAATCGCAAGCAAAAAAGAATCCCCAAAGAAATTCGCAGTAGATGCAAAATGTTAGTGCCTACTATAATAATTAGCCCTGAGGCGAACTCATCTTCGTCAGACAAGGCAAATCTCTTCGCTACGATCTTTGCTCATAATGTTTTATGAAAAATTAGATGCTGTATATGTATTTGTATGTGTGCGTATGCGCGCACATATGCATTAAAAAAAGACAAAATGATGAAAATATCTAAAAGTGAGGTACTTACTGGCAGCTGTAAATTTCCCCAATCCATCGGAGCCTACAAAAGCAATATTAAAGATATTAGTCGTGTGTATGAGCATAGATAGATAGATAGATAGATAGATAGATAGATAGATAGATAGATAAATAGATAGATAGATATGAATTGACTAAGATAGATAGATAGATAGATAGATAGATAGATAGATAGATAGATATGAACAGACTGCGATAGATAGATAGAAACTGTGATAGATATATAGATAGTAGTCGTATATATGAACATAGATAGATAGATAGATATGAACAGACTGCGATAGATAGATAGATAGATAGACAGATAGATAGATAGATAGAAACTGTGATAGATATATAGATAGTAGTCGTATATATGAACATAGATAGATAGATATAAACAGACGGAGATAGATAGATAGATAGATAGATAGATAGATAGATAGATAGATAGATAGATAGATAGATATGAATAGACTGAGATAGATAGATAGATATGAACACACTGAGATAGATAGATATGAACAGAGATAGATATGAGCAGACTGAGATAGATAGATAGATAGATAGATAGATAGATAGATAGATAGATAGATATGAACAGGCTCTCACAGAGAGGTAGATAGAAGGAATAATAATAATAATAATAATATACGTACTGTGCAACTTTCCCAAACACTGACTGATGGCAACGAGCATTAAAACTGAAAAAGAAATTTATAAATTAATTTTAAAACTTGTTTATATATTGAGGAAAGGATAATATTACAAGATGATATTACAGAAATTAAAACCGGGTACCTCATAAAATGTAGCTACTTCCTTCTCCTGATTGGCAGTGACTACAGTGTTTACTTCTATCCTCTTGTCACGCTTGCTGCAGCTACACTACCTCTTTAACTATTACATTACATATACGTATTTTATTTGGAGATGACGAAATCACCAGTATCATAAGAAAATTGAAACTTTTGGATTTATTTCTCGTAACAAGAAAATGTTTTTCGTAATATTACAGTTTTTCTTTTCTTTTTACTTTGTTATTTCTCAATATTAAAAGTAAACATATTTCACCTACAAATACCTACAAATATTTTCATGGCATCTGCACTGACGAGGTATTTTTACTGTTGCTTTGACTGCATGAATTTAAGCGTGCTTAGAGGCTTGGATTGAGGAGAGCCGAGTTCGAATTCCAGTCGAATCCATTCATTTACGTGCTAATACCGTTGGAAAAGGTAGGAATCCTCTTCTTCTCCCCTCAGCTATGGGTAAATAGCAAGACAAACCGGGTTCTATAGCCTTAGGTCTACTGCAGAAAGAAATGGCAACCTACTGCGTGAAGAAATCTGCCTCGTCAGTCATGTATCGAAACAAGCAAGACCAACCGGGTTCTATAGCCATGGATGGCAACTGGTCTACTGCAGAAAGAAATGGCAACCTACTGCGGGAAAAATCTGCCTCGTCAGTCATGTATCGAAACAAGCAAGACAAACCGGGTTCTATAGCCTTTGATGGCAACTGGTCTGCTGCAGAAAGAAATGGCAATCTACTGCGTGAAGAAATCTGCCTCGTCAGTCATGTATCGAAACAAGCAAGACAAACCGGGTTCTATAGCCTTCGATGGCAACTGGTCTACCGCAGAAAGAAATGACAACCTACTGCGGGAAAAATCTGCCTCGTCAGTCATGTATCGAAACAAGCAAGACAAACCGGGTTCTATAGCCTTTGATGGCAACTGGTCTGCTGCAGAAAGAAATGGCAATCTACTGCGTGAAGAAATCTGCCTCGTCAGTCATGTATCGAAACAAGCAAGACAAACCGAGTTCTATAGCCTTTGATGGCAATTGGTCTACTGCAGAAAGAAATGACAACCTACTGCGGGAAAAAATCTGCCTCGTCAGTCATGTATCGAAACAAGCAAGACAAACCGGGTTCTATAGCCTTGGATGGCAACTGGTCTACTGCAGAAAGAAATGACAACCTACTGCGGGAAAAAATCTGCCTCGTCAGTCATGTATCGAAACACACGTAACTGACTGACTAGGTTGGCATCTCGGTCCTACCCTTTTAGTGTCGAAACAGTTAAATGTAACCGCCTCTTCTACTCCAACAGCTTCTTCTCTCGCACTTCCCGACAGTGGAACTCTCTTCCTCTTACCTGCTTCCCCGATAATTACAATCTTCAAAAATTTAAATGTAATGTCAATTGACATCTTCTGATGACTTTATTCCCGTCCTTCCCTATATCCTTTCCTCAAACACCGCTCTTTATTCTTACTCTCACTTTCTGCAACCCCTTGCGTGCTAGTGGCTCTCCCGCTTTGCTTCGGGTGAAATGTTTTAAAAAAAAATACATATATACATATATATCTTAGTTTATTGCTTCAAGGTTATTTTAATGGATACCCGCATTTGAGTAGACGCTCTGTTTTTATTTGTTTATTAAACAGCAAATTTACTTATTTCCATCTGCCGAAAAGCGCATATTTTTCAAACAAGATTTCTCGAATATTCAGGTCGATAGTTGGAAATAAATGAATGTATGGTTTAATAAAAGCACAGTATCTATACAAATATGGGAATCCGTTAAAAATTACGTCTAAGCAATACATTAATATACGTCAGATTAATAAACGAAAAATCCATTCTTAAAAATACGCACACACACACACATATGAAAATTTCTCCGATTTAACCAGTAGAGAAGACAATATTTATGAATAAAAATGACAATAGGAAAACTAGTAATTGCTGACGCGTTTCGTCCAATGTGGACTTTATCAAAGCAAAATTTATGAGCACAAAAGAGACCTCACAAAAAAACAACTTAACTAATGCACTAATGATACATAGAAATAAATTCAACCATAATTTTGATTTTAAAAATGCTACACTCATAAAAAAAGAAAATAACTCACTCAGAAGGAAAATTCTAGAGAGTGACGCCATAGAATATTACCCAAATATTAATCTACGCCCAGGTTTTTTTCCCATTTCACTTTTCTTAACAAAACTACTGCTCTCACAAACAAATGTACACAACAGATTCATAAAATCAAAAGAAAATGGTTGAATACATCAACACAGATATAATGACAATATTCTCCACACGTGACAAATACTGACGTTATTTTTCAGTTAACAGTATGAAAATAGCGTTCTCTACGTTCCAATTACTAGGAACATTCTGTTGTTGTTGTTTTTGTTTTTATTAGTTAACTTGTGCAATGAAATTAATTTCGTATTTTGCTTTGATAAAGTCCACATTGGACGAAACGCATCAGCAATTACTAGTTTTCTATTGTCATTTTTATTCATATATATATATATATATATATATATATATATATATATATATATATATATATATAGCCGACGCGTTTCGTTTTCCGACTATTTCAAGGCAAAAATGAAATCGAAATGTTTTTGTTGTTATAGTTACATTAAAAAATCCAAATTTAAAAAAGCGAGAGACGCTTCGGCGTAAGCCTCTTTCTGGTTAATGTAAATTTCCTTTATAATAAGAGATTTTTTTTTCTTTCCATGTCGACGGCATAGTTAAATTCCGAGATCATTTTTGCCTTGAAAAAGTCGGAAGACGAAACCGTTATCGTTGAATAGCAATCTTCTATGTAAGCATACATAAATCTCATCTTTGAGGGTGAATATCGTTGTTTAAATGTCCGTATAACCATTCTGAATATGGATCATGTGAGCCGAAAGCCTAGATCAAGAAGCCGATAACCCAATCCTAAATAGGAAACAAGGGATAAACCTTTACTCCTGCTCCAAAGACAGGGAAAGGATGTACACACAGATAGGCAGCCACAGACACACACACAGACACACACACAAACATATATATATGACTGTGTGTGTGTGTGTCTGTTCATATCTATCTATCTATCTATCTATCTATCTATCTATCTATCTATCTATCTATCTATCTTCTCTTATGTATTGTTCTATGGGAATAATAACACTAAGATTCAAGGAATTACTAGGAGTGAAAGAAAATCAGACTTTAGAAGGGACCAGAAATCCAATCCTAAACAAGAAACAAGGGATAAACCTTTACTCCTGCTCAAAAGACGGGGAAAGGATGTACACACATAAAGACTGCCACACACACACACACACACACACACACACACACACACACACACACACACATATATATATATATATATATAAGTATATCTATCTATCTATCTATCTATCTATCTATTTTCTGTTCTTATGTATTGTTCTATCTATGGGAATAATAGCACTAAAATTCAAGGAATTACTGAGAGTGAAAGAAAATCAGAAAACTTTAGAAGGGCAGGAACCCCTTCTTAAACAGGAAACAAGGGATAAACTTTTCACCTGCTCAAAAGACCACACACACACACACACACACACACACACACACACATATATATATATATATATATATATATATATATATATATATAATGCCTGTTTGGGTAGTAACTTTTCTTTCAAACATGTTTCAGTGAATATGTTACACAAGAAAAATTTGATGATTTTTTTTTTTTAGTTTTTCCAATATTCTTAATTTTTTACGTTTGGTTGCTTAAAGATGTGTAAAAGCTGTTCATAGTGTCTCTTATCTCAAGCGCTTTCATCCACTTTTTCAGCCATTTATCAAGGTCTTTGTTGTTAATATCTATTCATTCTTTACGTATGAATAAAAAGAGACAAGAGGAAAAAGTATGCTTAACCGACGCATTTCCTTCTAAGAGACTTTATCAAAGCCACCGGGGAAACGATTCAAGTTAAAGTGTGTCTGTGTCTGAGTGTTTTACAGAATTATGTCAATTTGTTGTCCATCCTTGTAAAGGCTTTGCATATATACAGGTACTTTATGTCTGAGAACGTCCTCAATGAAACGTTTCGATGGGTATATTCTCCGGCCTTCCTTCGGTCTCCATGTTACATCCTGCGGCATTCAGTTTATATTCGTCAGTAACTTCTCACTAAATCTTCAGTAAGGACGGCACAATTTAGCAGAATTGCAGAAATAGATGCCAAATTTGCGAGAATTACTTACCGAAAAGGCAAAACGACAGCTTCATCTTGAAATGTTACTCGACAACGGTATCGGTAAGGTGCTCACACTTGAGTGAATGGCGGATTCCTCGCGCTTCTGAAGCTTCGAAGAGAATCTTTTATATATATATATATATATATATATATATATATAACGATATATTTATGCCAGGGGAGCGCACCTCCTATATGGACACATACGCACACAAAAATACATACACTGACATTCTCAAACGCACACCAGTACACAAGTACACGTACACATAAAAATGCTTCATGGAGTTAACTCTACGCATCTATTGGCCTGTACCTGTTTGCGTGTGTGTATATGCATGTGTGTGCATTTGCATTGACAGCTGCGCACTTGTTTGTGCATATTATTTTAATTCCTATTCCAAATGACCATCCCTTATAAATTTCCCGAACAATATGCAAATTAGGCAAGAATTTTTTGCAACAGACTGTGTAACTACACTACCCCCCCCCAACCCAATCTTATTCTTTCCTATGTTTGGAAATATTTTAATCGTGCTATCTGTCTGTCTGTCTATCTATCCCTTTATCTATCTATTTACTTCATTCACTGTTTCCTTTTTTTTTCCGTCTTGTTTTTTTTTTCTGCCTTTCATTTTGATTAATTTCTTTCTTTTTAAATAATTCATTATCATTTCTTTTTATCTTTCCAATTAATTCACATCTCTCTATCTATCTATCTACTTCATGCACTGTTTCCATTTCTTACTTTCTTGTTTGTTTCTCTCTTTCATTTTAATGCCTTTCTTACTAAATAATTCATACTTTTTTCCAATTAATTAATTTCTTTCTATCTATCTATCTATCTATCTATCTATCTATCTATCTATCTATCCCGTCTGTTTATATCTATCTATCTATGTTCATATATACGACTACTATCTATATATCTATCACAGTTTCTATCTATCTATCTATCTATCTATCTATCTATCTATCTAAGTTTGTTCATATCTATCTATCTATCGATCTATCTACTTCATGCACTGTTTCCATTTCTTTCTTTCTTGTTTGTTTCTGTCTTTCATTTTAATTAATTCATTGCCTTTCTTTCTTTCTTTCTTTTTTTCTTTCTAAATAATTCATTCTTTCTTTCCAATTAATTTAGATCTATCTATCTATCTATCTATCTATCTATCTATCTATCTACTTCATGCACTGTTTCCATTTCTTTCTTGTTTGTTTCTGCCTTTCATTTTAATTAATTCATTGCCTTTCTTTCTTTCTTTATTTCTTTCTAAATAATTCATTCTTTCTTTCCAATTAATTTAGATCTATCTATCTATCTATCTATCTATCTATCTATCTATCTATCTATCTATCTATCTATCTATCTACTTCATGCACTGTTTCCATTTCTTTCTTGTTTGTTTCTGCCTTTCATTTTTAATTAATTCATTGCCTTTCTTTCTTTCTTTCTTTCTTTCTTTCTAAATAATTCATTCTTTCTTTTCCAATTAATTTAGATCTATCTATCTATCTATCTATCTATCTATCTATCTATCTATCTATCTATCTATCTATCTACTTCATGCACTGTTTCCATTTCTTTCTTGTTTGTTTCTGCCTTTCATTTTAATTAATTCATTGCCTTTCTTTCTTTCTTTCTTTCTTTCTTTCTAAATAATTCATTCTTTCTTTCCAATTAATTTAGATCTATCTATCTATCTATCTATCTATCTATCTATCTATCTATCTATCTACTTCATGCACTGTTTCCATTTCTTTCTTGTTTGTTTCTGCCTTTCATTTTAATTAATTCATTGCCTTTCTTTCTTTCTTTCTTTCTTTCTTTCTTTCTTTCTAAATAATTCATTCTTTCTTTCCAATTAATTTAGATCTATCTATCTATCTATCTATCTATCTATCTATCTATCTATCTATCTATCTATCTACTTCATGCACTGTTTCCATTTCTTTCTTGTTTGTTTCTGCCTTTCATTTTAATTAATTCATTGCCTTTCTTTCTTTCTTTCTTTCTTTCTTTCTTTCTAAATAATTCATTCTTTCTTTCCAATTAATTTAGATCTATCTATCTATCTATCTATCTATCTATCTATCTATCTATCTATCTATCTATCTATCTATCGACTTCATGCACTGTTTCCATGTCTTGTTTTTGTCTTTCATTTTGATTAATTCGTGACATTCCATTCTTTCTTTTTAAATAATTCATTATCATTTCTTTCTTTCCAATTAATTCACATCTATCTATCTATCTATCTATCTATCTATCTATCTATCTATCTATTTATCTACTTAATTCACTGTTTTCATTTCTTTCTTTCTTTCTTTCTTTCTTTCTTTCTTTCTTTCTTTCTTTCTTTCTTTAGTTGATTCATTATCACGTCTTTCTTTTGTTCTATTGTTCTTTCTTTTCAAATGAATTACTTTCTATCTCTCTCTCTCTCTTTCTCTCTCTTTCTCTCTCTCTCGCTCTCGATATATATATATATATATATATGTATTTATATGCAAATAAGGGTTATAATTTTTTGACTTTTTGTAAAATAATTGATTTCCTGTATATGATGAACCTTTGTTAAAAAATAAAGGCTTTTAATTCATATTTTCTTTAAATATCACTCTAACACAAAAATGTATTTGTTTTCAGTTTGTATGTTATGCTATAGCTGTAAACTCTCAAATACGTTAAAATATATCGGTACTATCCAATTACATTTAATTTCGCCGTTACACATTTGAACTAGTTTATCTACAACACTTCTATATCGTTATAATGGGGCCTCACATCAGTGAGGGGGGCCGGTGTGCAACTGAAACCGTTGAGAGGAAGGCCCCGAAACGGTGCACATTCTCTCCTGATGACCCCAGTTTAAAATTCGAGAGGAACACATCAAAATTCAGTGAAATCATATGCCGTAGAGAAGCTCGGTGGAAGTGTCATTGGCATAAGGAGCATTATAGATTCAGCTCGCTTCAGGTGAGTTTCAATTACTTTCCAGTAATTTCCTTCTTCATTAACAAATTGAAAAATAAAGCCTTTGAAATATTTTGATTTTTTACCCGTATTGCGTTTATGACAAAAACTAATGTTGGGTTTGGGGATGATCTTTTTCAAAAAATAAAACAAAATTAATGCCTTTTTCATTGCCTTTGAAAAAAAGGTCAACAATTTATGACAGAAAAATAATAACGGTAACTAGTATATATATATATATATATATATATATATATATATATATATAGGAATTAAGATTACATTAGGTTAATGATCATTTTACCTTGAAAATTGAAAAAAATTGACAAGGATTTTTCAAACCATTCAACGGATGATAAATTATTGAAATAAAATGGCCAGACAGAGAAAGAAAGAAGGGAAGAAAAAAAAGGAAAAAAGAGAGCAAATAAAAACAAGGAAGTAGTGTAAGTCTGGATATGAGGGATGGTCATAGGAGAAAGGAAGAGAACAAAAGAGGCAGAGGAAAGAGAGAGGGAATGACCTATTTATTTTATACACAGTAACCAATCAGAAGGTAGTTTAGACGTTAAGAAAACATTCTTAAACAAAAATAATAAAAGAGACAAACCCATTTATATGAAAGAGAGATAATTCAGAATTAAATATATAAAAATAAACAATATATCAGAATAAATAAGAAGAAAAATATAAAAATTAATACATTGAAATTCTATCATATATATATATATATATATATATATATATATAGAGAGAGAGAGAGAGAGAGAGACAGATGGATAGATGGATAGATATTACTATTATATATATATATATATATATAATTAATATATTGAAATTCTATTATATATATATATATATATATATATATATATATATATATATATATATATATATATATATATAGCATATAATGATGCCATAGAACAATAGCAGCTAAGAGGTGGTTCCTCTTTTCTCAGAATCTCCAATCTCTCGATCAGAGCCCTTGCTGCCGGATGTAGTTTATCGTCATACCCAGGACGTGGATGGTAGAACAGGGATTAGGATGCATAGTAAAGGGACCAACATTCATTAGAGATAAAAATTGCAGGAAGTTGTGGAGAGACATCATCGCCCATCTACTGAAGAGATACGGGACATAAAAGAAAAGATAACGGTATATGTATGTGTATGAAATTAACTTTTTTATCAAGAGTGTTACAGGTGAATTCGTTTATAGGAACTTTGAGAAGCGTAGAGAAAAGACACGATTTACCAAAAACTTTAAGAGGCAAGAAATTGTAGAGAGTCGTGATCGCTCACATCCTTAATGGATACGGCATATAGAAGTAGACAACACATATAACGAATGGAGGCACAGTCCTATGGGTAAGGGAAACTCGGAATATCTGAACGAGCGGCGCTATATCGAGTCTAAATCGTTACCCCTTCGTCACCGAGGCCAGTTGGTATGGCGTTTGCCTCCGTTCGGGTTTCAATTCTCGGTAGTGGATGCGCACTGCTGATTAGTCCCAAATATAGAACGAAACGATAGTCCAGTGCTTTCTGCATTCTGTTGAGATTTCTTCTGAACTCGATTATAATTATATTATATTATATATATATATATATATATATATATATATATATATATATATATATATATATATATATATATATTAATTGATTAAAATATGTTTTTTAATTTTTGTGATTAAATTAAAGACATTA